TCATGAGATACACTGTCGATAACGCCAAATGGAATAGCATTCTTAATTAATAGAGCTACTCTCCCTTGTTTAAGCTTCTGGATTCTGTCGGCTCTTACAAACCTAAAACCCTGGAAACCGTGTTCCTTACTATCTATAGGCTGCGTCAGCCAAGAATCTGTTGCTGCGATTGTGTCTAGCTTCATAGAGTCAATCTGTACACCTAGTTCCAATCGCTTATTGAGTAAGCTTCGGGCATCAGTGTAACAGATCTGAAGCCTATTTAAGTAGCTTCGTGCTTCACCCATAGTGGCTTCGACATCATTCTCTGTCGAAGCCCTACAACCCGAAAATTTACAATTTTAGGTCCTGTTTGCCAGCGCCTAACCTAAGTTGTAGTTCTCTTTCAGCTTCCCATCTTTTAACACAGTCTGCCAGCGAGAAGTCCTTACGGACAAAAACCGACATTCACTAAGTTAGATATTACCTTGTTCACTACAGTATAGAAAACCTTGGTGAGAACTAAGCTTGAGAACTGCGTTCAGGCTGCAAGCCCCAGTTTAAAAGGTGACTCGGATATCCTGAAAAAAATACAGAGGGCAGCTTCTCATGCAATTCCAGAACTTCGAGGTTTACCATACAAAGAACGGCTTGAAAAGCTAGACCTCTTTATTCTGTCCTATAGCAGACTAAGGGGAGATCTAATTTTGATGTATAGAATACTAAGAAATGATTTTGGACTTAACTCATTCTCTCTTTTTCTTCCCACTAGATCGGGACATCTCAGAGAACATAGCAAGCGAGTAAAAAAGCCAAGAACGAACAAAATACCCATGGCATACAGGTTTTCACACTGAGTCATCAATACTTCAAACTTGTTACCGAAGCAGTGATGTCCGCACCTAGAATCAACACATTCAAGATAAGACTGAACACTCATGTAAGCATACTAGAAAAGGAATAACATAGGCCGCAGGACTTCTGTCCTCACAACACACATCTGAATCTGAATCCTAAATCACCTTTAATTTATGTCCACTTTGTAAAATTAAGTCCCGTTCATAGGGAGATTTGGATATTACTTCAAGCACCCTGGTATGATTTGTTTTTACGTTCGCTTGATTCCCTAGTCTGTAGCGTGGTGTCGAGTCGCGGTTGACTATGAACACCGCTACAGAGAAACACGTGTCAAATAAATCCATAAAATCCCCGGGAAGCCAAATACCAGAAGGCAGTTAATGGACCAAGTCGAGATATATTTGCTGGCGATCTCGTGGTATCGAAAGGATACCGAGATCGTGCCACGATACAAGCTTGGTTACAGAACGTAACCGAATTCGCGCGAGGTCACAATCTAAGTGTAAGTATAATGGATGTTTTTAGCACAGTTAAACAAAGAGCACGTTAAACAGTCACTGGCACAATTGGTTATAATAATAACTGTTTTCAACAAACCAACCGTGTTCTCGTGATAAAAAGGAGTCACTACAAGTCTATAAACCTTTAGCAAGGTGACTCTGGAGATATTTTGAGGCATAATTTGATTTAGTAGCCGTTTTATCAACTCAATGTCATGCTCAAAACGAGTTTTAGGTTCAGAGCCTGTACTCGCCTTGATTCTATGAAAAATAACTGACATATCACTGAGATAGGTTTTCAATTTCTCGGGTACTTTTTTGGAGAGGGGAGGATTTTCCTTTATATCGTTATGTCGGTTCTTGCTTACGACATGTACCCGGTCGTCAGCTTTCGTTCGAGCAGGAGCCACAGTCGCGTTAAATATACTATGGGATTCCGAAGGGTTATCGATGACCTGGGACGTCAGGTTGTGTTTCCTGCTAGAAAAAGATCGAAACTTGTGAATGCGATTTCTAGACGGTTCCTGCCGGACACCATGTAAAAAACGTGGGACAGGAAACTTCCTTTCTTGGGGTTTTAATTAAGATAGACCTCTTTGAAGACGGACGTTCCTACTTTGATCTTTGTGAGTCAGTTGTTTCCGAGCTCACTTAAGGTGGCTTCACATCAATTTGTGCGTCAACAGAACGAGTGCCACCGACCTGCCTGCTAAAACACTTTTTTGTAGCATTCACCACTGAAATGGCTTCGGTTAGTAAGGTGTTTGCGTGCGAACTGCAATACTGACAAAACCACACGCAACCGTTTGTTCTAAACCATTTGAAAGCCACAGGCTTCATATTCGTGGAAACGTCGTGGTACCAGCCTTTGCACCCATTGCACATCCTGCCACTTTCGACGGGATATCGATAGCCTGGACGTTGGTAATTGCTTTTCTTGCACTGTCCATTCATCGAACAGAGGTTTTCAAAAAGAAACTAGATACAACAGTATCCAGAGACAACAGTGATCTATGACCCAAAAAGTGGAAAACTGTAGACTGTTAGAAGTACTAACAAAAGTACTAACAAATACAATAGAAAAGAAAATACTCAACAGTACCAACGATAAACTATTTTAGAAACGAAAACGATACTCCTATTGGATACTTTAGCTGGAACAAATCCAATCAAAGAATAAGCAGTAGTCTCGATAAACGTTCAGAACAATAGGATGTACTCAGCGAGAAAAAAATATTAGTGTCCTAATAAATAGCACACGCAAGTGACGGTCCTTGCGATTTATAATCCTCTAAAATTCCTGTACTTCCATGAAAACGTGTGCTTTAAGTTTAAATAAACTTTCTTAAGTGAGTTGTTTCAGTAGTTGATTATTTTATTTTAATTGGAAATCCAAAAATGACACATGCCATCTTAAATTTGTCACTACCAACTGAGATTTGATTTTTGAATCCTCGTCATCATGAAATATATTCTTCATTAAAAATATTCATGTTTGCTTTAGAACCTGTTCAACAAATCATAACAACATTTCATGTGGACATCATCTATAATCTTACTTGTGATTTTATCTATGATTGAACCCGAAATGATTTCTTCTCAATCCCTGTGTATGAACAAAGTTTTCATGAGTTATAATACGTTTTTTCATGTTATTACTAATGAAACAGTCACTTTACTCTACCAACTCACCTAGATGTGAGTATGTGATCTAACATTCAGATGTTTACCTATATATCGTTACCCCTTTATTATTAGAAGAGTATTATGTCGTATAAACACAAGTAAAAGTCTCCGGGATTGAAAAGTTCGTAGCTTTTTAAATGGAGGTCGCATTTTCTAAACAGGACATTAAATTTTAATAAGCGAGTGGATTCGGGGAGCTTGCTACTTAGTTTTCTGATGTTAAAGATTAGGGAGATCTGCTATGATATTCATGATAGAAATGTTGTTGAGCACTAACATTTCAAATACACACTCTGTTGGTTTCTATAGTATGACATTTAAACGATTTTATCTCAACCGGATATCTCATTAAAGAAACCTTGATCGCTTGTCTCCGAACCATAAGAATGTTATGCAAAATATTCAGCTTCCCGGACATCAGATTGTGTTTAATTTTCCATCCTTCTTTATCGAATTCCAAAATTTTCTTTTTCATTTTTTAAAGATATACACCAGTCACTTTCATACGTAAAATACAATCACCTACAAAAGGTTGACCTAAACAAATTTAAACGAAATGGATTCTTAGCTACTGAGAAACGTTACATCAATTTCGCCCTCATACAAAACTGAACTTCCTAACTGATTGCTATACGATTGTTTATTTGTTCTTTGATCATCATTAATGAGCAAATAAATACGTCTGAGTTCTAACTTCGTGCTGACTATGAATTTTTATTGACATATCAGTTTTAGTTCAAGCTGTTATTCTTATGAAAAATAAGTTTTCAGACATTAATTAGCAAAGATTAAGTCTAACAAGTGTATAGCCTATTCTCAAAACGAACCAGAAAGGAAGTGAAGTCGGATTATTAGATAGAGTCTAGTATTGAATAATATTGTAGTAAGACTAATAAAAAGGGTAAATTATTATTAAATCTGTGATGCTTTCCACTGAAAACGGTGAATAAAAATTTTCATTTCCTAAAAACTATTTCTGAAATCTTTTGGTGGATGAAATGGAAAAGGTTGATCTCATGGCTTGGACTTGGACGGCAGTGAAAAATTATGTTAAATAAACGGTAGGTTCACATATTACTAAATGACAAATATCACCTTTCGGAGTACAAGACTGTGTTTTCAGTTGCATTAAGAATATATATTGTTAAGTAATTGGAACACAGTTTGTGCCGACCTTAACCAAGTTATTATTTTCAACGTGGTTTATTACTATCATTCGCTTCTGGTTTATCTGATTATTAAGCACAACTTTATGATACTTAAATAAGACTTGATCTGATTCACTATAGATAAGATACACGAAGTATCTAAATAATTGTAGCAATAAATGAATGTCAATAGATCGTTTGACTGACAAAAAGTCTGAGGTAAATATTGCGAACCTTCAAGAGTTACTTTAAAATTTGGAGATCTCCCTGAAGCGTCATAAAAATCTTTTACTATTGGAAAATTAACTATTTATCATCGGTTTTCACTCAAGTTAAATGGTAGCTCAAACATATTTTTTATTGCTGACGTTTCATGGGATTTGTAGTTATGATTATCCTCTGTTATATGGATGGAAATATTTATAGTAACTAAGCACACATTACTATGTCAATTCTCTTCAACTATTTAAGTTAGTACTGAGCTAAATAATATTTAGAAACAAAATTCATTTATAAATTATTCAAGTTTATAACAAGCTACCACCAATCAAGTATTCAGAATTCACCTCCTATCATATATATCAAAGTATTTAAGACAGAACTTAAAGAAAATTTATTAATCTCACATCCTTATTATTTCACCAATAAGTAAAGATGATCAATATGAAGTGTTTTTGGAAAGTACAATTAGTAAATAACCTTCAGTCACCTTCAATAAAAAGGAAGGTAAATAATTATAGACAGGTAAATTAATCAAATGACCAATATATATGTATAAAGTGTTTATATAAATCTTCATAATTTGAAAGTAATCAAAAATGCACAATCATTATAAAATAGTTGTAAGTTTATCAAGGGCATCACAAACAGTCTGATCCTAAAATATAAAGATCAATGAAAAAAACATTAAAGAGCTTTCTTCATCACGAGTTCATAGTTAAAATAAAGTATGACATGCTGTTTTGAATAGTAAAGTTAATAATGAAAATCATTGTGAAAATAAGAACAGAATAAAAATTTCTCTATGAAAACCAACACAACTTAAAAAACTATAAGTAAATTATTAAAGATAAGTAAAAGTTTCATAATCATGTAGTTTGACCCTTACCATTACAATAACTCTTTAAGCAGCCAATGAAATAAATTATTTATGATATTATAATAATAAAACAACAATCAACACGTAAAACTTCACACCATTTTTCAAATGTTTTAGTTGGGCTATAAAATGGACCGTGTATGAATTCTGTTGCTGATACAGAAAGTTAGATTTTATTCTTATTTACAACTCATAAGAGAGATTATTCGAGATTCACTTCACGATCGACTGTAGTATGTAGTACTACTACTAGTGTTGTGATGAAAATCTAGTAAAAGCTAACTACTAACCATAAGTAACGATTACTATCTTCGTTCATTTGTTCACTAGATATGAGTTGTTGGTTTATGCCTTTATTTGGAGGTTATCAGCTCATGCACCCAGACTAATGGAAATGAATTTATTAAGTTTAGCACAGCCTAAATGCTCCATAGTAAATCCTTTTTAATGGATGTTTATTGCCCGTAGAAATAAACATTTAGAATTTTTTTTATTTAATACTGTATTATTAACTGATCAATTTCTTAAAAAATGGCAAATTTAAAGCCTCGAATAGGAAAGTTTGGTTCCTTAAATTATTCAATTAATGACTAACTAGTCGAAATGTATGAATAAACCTTAAATGATATCCATATGAAAACCATGGAAGATGATCCTCCCTGATCAGAACGTTTATACATTAATTTCTGACTCATTACAAATCCTCAGATGTCCATATTGCCTAACTAAACAATTAGATTATGAGACATGATTACACTGATCAATGAAGTAATTTCCAGAAAATCTTCATCTTTCATCAAAGAAACATTACCCGGTTACTTAGAAGCTATTTACAAGTGTATGTATTATGTTTTGAACTATACTTACGTTATGAAGCGTAGAAATACTGCCTCGATTTAAGAAATAAAACTGAGTTCATTTTAAATTTCTGGGGTCAAGTACCGAAACTAATGAACCACGGGTTCTTCTGAAGTTGCAGTCTCCTAATAAAGTGAACCAATCAAAACCTTCATTCGAAACCTCAACGAATGTGTATTTTAATTCCACACGTACTTAATTACTTAAATTACACCTTTTACTTTCATGGAGCAGTATTTACCCTCCACCAGGATCCTCTATCCAGCTCTGTATTTGGCCCTCCTTTCCAATTTATATTCATGATTTTGATGTCTGCCTCCGAGTCCTAACGCAATGTTTTCCTTGGTCATCCTCGTTTCCTCGTTTCATGAGTCAGTTGAAGCTAGACCACCATGGAAAATCTGGAAGTTAGACAATAACACTGTTGGATGCCGACTCAGTGGTCTAATGGTTAAACGCTCGTGCGCGAGACTGATAGGTCTTGGGTTCGAACCTCGCGGGGGTGGGTTCGTGGGTGCGCACTGCTGAGGAGTCTCACACCAGGATGAAACGGCCGTCCAGTGCTTCCAGGTTTCCCATGGTGGTCTAACTTCAATTGACTCACGATCTCAACTATTGAAACCTTCATAAATCTTTGATATTATCAATTAATTATCAATTATTTTTCTAATGAAAATAAGTTAATAGGAAATTAACTGTAGACTAATATAAACTTACATAAGTACACGCCTGTAAAAATTCTTCATAACTTATTACACCATCTTGATTTAAATCTAATCTCTATTAAAAGATTAAATAAAGGAAATTATTTACTTTTTTCATGAATATTTCTTTCAGTTGTAGGTGATCTTGTTTTATATTTTAAAAATTCAACCATTTGAGAACAATAACTGAAGATAGTTGATCATAAATAACTTAGTCTTTTATAAAAAATATGAACTGATCTAATTTGATGCATACTTGGTTAACAAAATGTAAAAGAAATTTACAAAATGAATAGTAAAGGAGGTAAAATAATTATTTTAGTGATAGGTAAACTAACTACAGAAAATCTAATTTGGGGAATATAATGCCTCAATATATTTATACAAGTACTTCTTTCCAACAAGTAATTTGAAATTAAATAACCTATAACCGATTGTTTTTCAAGTTTTTAGAACACATGCTGAATCAGGACCACCTAGACAATTTACATATGTCAACAGAGAGAATTTGTCAAATATTGTCTAAGGCAAAATAAAATCACTCGTTATGATCTGGGAGACCTCTAATGTATAATTCATGGTTATGTGAAACGTTTAATATCTGAAGTTCTTCAACAGACTTCACTGAAACATGTTTGAAGATTATCTTTCAGTATCATTTCGTGTACTGATCACATAAATAAGCAAACTTGAACTAGTATGGGAGTGTAATCTATATAATATTTAGTTCTTAGTAATAATGATCACGAAATAAACCACACTGAAACAGCGAGTTCCTTTTACATATATTTCACTTAACTTATTCAGCTGGTTTTTGAACACTATAGTTTATAACAATGAAAGGATTTTCCAGTTGAACAGTGAGAATTTAATGCCAGACTTAGATAAAACAGTGAAGATCAATGCTTCTGGATAATCATTTCAAACTCTATATGTAGGCAACAGTTTGTCTATAATGAATATTGTATTTATCTATCGATAAATAGTACGTTACATTTAGCAAGGGTGTCGGAGTTCATTTAACTTTTTACTATATAGTTATATTTTTCATGTCTTAACTTAGTTACACGTTTGTTTAATGTCAATATGGTCAAGTATACATCGGTGAAACCATTGCTTACTCATCTTGTCAAAGAATATTCCTGAAAAAAAGTTTTTCTCCACTACTAAATTGTTTACAAATTACAGTACGTTTGAAAATATAGTAATTAATCATTTCAGAAACTGGTTACCTCATGAAAATTTATGTCTCTAAGTATTATATTTATTTTCATTTGTAATCGAAAACTTGTTTGAATTGAAATATTTGCCAAAATATTATGGAATAATAACTCTTTATCATTACTATATAATACTGAGTATATTTTCAGAATGGGTTTTGTAGAGATTTTTAGAAATTCCACAGGTTGAAACCATGAGTCAATTGAAGCTAGACCACCATTGAGTATATTTACTACTTCCTATTCTAATCTAAGTTTTTTCTATTTTAGCATTTTGCAATATACTATTTAAACAAACAGTATTGTAAGATACATGAAACTATTTTATTTTTGTGTTTCACAACCGGTAATGTTTCAATCCTGTAACGAATCATTCATCTCTATGATATTAGGCTTTCAATACTTAGCTCATTATTTTAGCTATCATGGTATCTCCTTTTCCTTCCAATTTTTAGTTTCTTCATGTATTCTACTCTTAGAAAGTTGAAATAAATTATTGAATTAATGTCGTTAAATCACGTGACATTATTTGTTCACAAAATACTTTGATATTAACTCTTTATGAAATCCTTTTATTGTATTATATGCGTATTTTTGATTTCGATGCTAACAATCTTTGAACAATGAATATTCTGGTAAGAGTAAAGCCTTCATCAAACTAACAGTCGATTTTAAAACCGAAATATTCGTAATTTAACTTCACTATACAAAATGAAATTCACTTCATATTGTCTGCCTGTATTTTCCAATTGTTGTTAAGAACTGAAATTGATCAGTCGCTTGTTTGAATATGTGCATCCTTTGCGGATTGCCTAGTATTAAAGTCCTGGACGCGCGTTTCGTGCTATTTGAGACTCGTCAGCTGGATATGCCTGCATCCCAAAGTAAACCTCAACTCTAAGATGCAGATACATTCAGCTGACGAGTCCAAAATATAACGAAACGCGCATCCTGGATTCCTCTGCTAACCACCATTCATCTTTGCTTATATAAAAAGTGAACTTTAAAATTTTCTCTAAAGAAATTTAATTTTTTTGTTTCTATAGTGTACAAATATCACATTGATTGGTGATATAAAATGTGTACAATTTATAATTTAGTTCACTGGTAGTTAACCACTAAAAGATTTAGAATGAAAAGTTTTGGTACTTTTTCATAGAAAACTTGGAATTTTAAAGATCAGAAGTAGACATGTAATTCTTAATTAGTCTTTTTTGAAAGTAGAATCTTCAATTTTATGTTAATTTCGTTTTAAGCGAAAAGCACAGTGATACTTTAGTTGCTTTCATAGTTTGCATTGATTCAAAGTTAGTAATTCGTTAAGTCACGTTATCTGTAGTCATAAAACAATTTTAAAAAACAAAGACACTTACCATGCACATCACTGAATTTTTTTGAACATATAAGCAGAATCAGTAAATATCACATTTTTTTTATCGTTATTTAATTTTTTTACAATTGGGGACTTCATTTCTTACTTGCCGATTTACATCACCTTGATGTGTTTTGTCGTGGAGACTTCAGCTATATTAGTTCCTAGTTAGTTATGAATAGCTGTTACCACGTAACATAAACCTGTCACGTGAAGGCTAAAGTTGACAAATTATTGTTGCCTAATGGCTGTTTATTAAACTGGTTTATCTTGTTCTTCAGTCAATAACGATACTGACAATGACAGATAGTGCAACAACACGAAGAACCTTATAAAGTTTACACTCACTTATCGATAGGACTGATACGATGGGCAAGAATTAGGTCTGACAGTCAGACCTTAATTAGCTGGAGAGTAAGTGACTTACATGATATTTTTCTCCAAATTTCCATAGTTTTTGACTATTTTTTCATCTCACCATTTTGTTCGTGTGCTTATCATTCTCTTTCATGGAAAACCTATTCTTCTGGGTTGTGATCTCATCTTAATTTCAAATCATCCCGGATCACGATTCAATACTTCAGTCTTGTTAACACACATTCCTCGATCAGTGATAATCATCTAATGATCATCATTCTATCCTGTCATTTTAACAGTCAAAAATTAGTTTGCTAAATTATAAAACTTTAATTTATTACATGGACTCAGATTTTTCTGTCTGTTAGCAAAATAAGACTATAATCTCTACCCGACTTATTGAGCTAAGTTAACGATTAGGTTTGTATGTGAGTGATTGTAGATGAATTTACTGAGCTTTCGTTCATGTTGGATTTTTTATTTGTTATTTTGAAGGGTGTATGTACAAATATTGGACCACTTATTTCAGTGGCTAGCCGAATATCTATCCACCATACAATTTAATTTCCTATATTTTGAAGAGAAAATCATATTCGCTTAAACGATTCTGCTGAATATTCTACAAATAAAATGTAAAAATCAGACATTTACTTTATCTGACTATTATTTTGAAATGAAGTATAGTGTTTGCAAAGTCATTACCATTATTACGCTACAAAACAGCTAGATATCCATCGATGATCAGTTAAGGCTAATTTTATTGAAATGCATAAGTTGAAAGGTTTAGACGCCAGTCCTCAGGATTCATCCAGTTTTAGAAAAACCGATCAAATTTAAGCTGCTTCATCATCATTTCAAATACTCAATACACAATAAATAATTCATTTACAAGTTTAGCCATAAAAAAGCATAAAATATAACTCACTTGAAATACTCTTTCTACATGATTAGCTGTGGTCGACTCATTAATTGGCGGTTCTGTATTTCTTCCCAATAAATCATAAATTGCATTGACAACTTTAAGCATTTCACCTTTAGTCACATAACCATCACCATTAATATCATACAGGCGAAATGCCCAACGTAATTTGTCATTTTGTGTACCATGCATTAAACACGATAAACATTGAATATATTGCTAAACAAACAAGTATATCAGAAGGGGTTTTGTAGATATTATCGCAATTTGAATAGTTTAGATCATGAGTGAACTGAAACTAGACCACTATGACAAACCTGGAAGCACTGAACGGCAATTTCTTCCAATTGTAGCACTCCTCAGCAGTGCGTATCCACAATCTCGTCCTGCGAGATTCGAACCAGGGACCCATAAGATTGGCTTCAAGAGGGATATACTGGAGTTCTAGTGAGAAGCAGTGACCAATGGAGTTCAACCAGTTTGTTCTGAGGTACAATGGTAGATGTATCGCTCAATTTCATGGATTGGTTGAAGTTAGACATTAAAACCTCTGGATACCGGCTCAGTGGTCTAATAGTTAAGCACATGCGCGCGGGACTGATAGGTCCTCGGTTCAAATCTCGAGAGTCGGGATCATGGATGTGCACTGCTGAGGAGTCCCACAATAGAATGAAATGGCCGTCTAGTACTTCCAGGTTTTCCATGACGGTCTTGCTTCAAATGACTCATGACCTCAACTACTGAAATAAGTACACATTGAAAATTGATCAATATGATTGATAATAAAGATTAAGTAAATTCCTGGTAAATAATCCTTAGTTACAAATTTTTTTTTCTTTTAATATAGGTTGTATAAAATACAGAACTCTAATTCTGCTATTTGCGATGTGAGTGCAGAATTATTGTATTGATAATACCTATTCATTTCAATTGGATCAAATTTAGTTATGGTATTATTATAAATAATAAGAAAATCACACATTTTATTTCGTGCTATAAAGGTGGTTTGAAAATAGATTTATTAAAGGCAGTCACCAACTGACACGTTCTTCAAATTTTAGAGTAAATAATGTCAATTTTCATTTAATATAACTAATCCCAAGTTAACACATGCGTGTCGTTTCAAATTCATATATAGTCCATTCAAAATATGAAGAGAAAACACACAATTGAACAATTCGTCTCACAATTTATGAAATATCAAAAATAATTTGAAAATTAAAGTTTAATGAATGTTATTATTCAATCGATGATGCATTTTATAACACAACGAAGAAATTAGCAGGAAACTTAATAAATCAAAGTGACCAGCTAAAAATAAGGAAGACAAGTCAGTCACTGAGATTCAGGAACAGAGGAAAGGCTGAACAGGACAATTTGAAGCACTCTTGGATAGACAAGACTCACTGAACCAACCAGTCATCGAAAGAAGTACACTCAAATCTTCCTGTGGATGTCACCTCACCAACGATCGAAGAAATCAGATTGGCCATCAGACAAATCAAGAGTGGGAAAGCAGAAGTTTGATCAGACAACATACCAGCTAAAGCACTGAATTCAGACATAGAATTAACTGTAAAAATACTCCACATTCTATTCAGAACGTATTGGGAGGAAGACCGAGTGCCATAGATAGAATGGATAGAAGGATATCTCATCAAGATACGAAAAACAGGAAATCTCAATTAGTGTGAGAGGTACAGAGACAACAGAGTATTGTCGGACCGAATGGAAGATTCGATGGACGCCCAGCTTCCAGATCAAAAGGTTGAATTCCGTAAGGATCCGTTGTGCACAGACCAAATCGTGATACTACGTTACTATACGTCAACTTCCATGATTATGAGAAGGCATTCGACAGCGTGGATAAAGAACATCATGGAACCTTCTTCGACGCTATGATGTACCTGAGAAAGTTATCAACATCGTACGAAATTCATAGGATGGACTACACTGCTAAGTTCTTCATGAAGGATAGCTGATAGATGCATCCCAAGTGAGGACCGGTGTCAGACAACATTGCCTACTCTCTCCTTTCCACTTTCTTTTGGTGGTTGACTGGATTATGAAGACCTCCACATCTGACGGGAAGCACAGAATACAATGAACAGGGTGGATGCAACTATACTATTTAGATTTCGTAGATCACTTAACTCTTCTATCCCATACACACCAACAAATGTAGGTCAAGACAAACATATACCAGAGAAAACGCATGATCCTGAAATACAACACAGAAAACACCAACCCAATCACACTTGATGGAGAAACAGTGGAGGGGTGGACATTTTCACATATCTGATCTGCACCGTCGATACACTGAGACAATTCGATGCCGACGTGAAGGCAAGGATTGGCAAAGTAAGGACCTCATTCCTACATTTGAAGAATATATAGAACTCAAAACAACTGTCAACCAATATGAGAAACAGAATGTTCAGTACGAACGTCAAGACAGTTGTACTTTGCGGAGCTGGAATTTGGAGAACTACCACGACCATCACCGAAGAAGTAAAAGTATTTATAAACAATTGTCTACGTAAGATACTGAATATCCGTTGACCAGATACTATCAGCAACAACCTACTGTGTGAGCGAACAAACCAGCTTCCTGTTTAAGAAACTGGGGTGAGATGCTGTAGATGGATGTGATATACATTTGGAAAATCGTCAGACTACATTACTAAGCAAGCGCTAACTTGGAATCCTGAAGGGAAGTGGAAAAGACGAAGATTAATGAAGACGTTACGTTGATAATTGGAAGCAGATATGAAAATGATGAATAAGAACTGGAAAGGATTGTCGAGGACAGAGTTGGATGGGGAATGCTGGTGAACTGTCTATGCTACTCCACGAGAGGTAACAGGCGTAAATAATTGTGTAAGATACATTTGAGTTAAAATCATAACTAGTTAAATGAGCATTTAGTCTACCTTGGCTTCTGATATTTAAAGCGTAACAGTTTAGTGATCATTCTTCTATACAGTGAAATTGTTGTGAGGTGTTACTCTAGTTTATGCCAATAATAAATCAAATAAAGCATTTTAGGAGGGATCGATGACAATGAATTTCCAATAAATTTATACTTAACAATTCTATTTCTTCGACTGGATTAATCTATAGCTTTTCCGTGTTTTCCCATTTATATTTTTATGGCTACCAAGGTTTTGAAATTTAATCACGTAATCCATTTAGTTGTTATCAACGGATCATAAATTATCTTATATAACTTAGTCATTTTAATATTTGGAAACCAATATTACATAATTTTAGAAAGAAGCATCATGAAGGTTTAACTAAAATCAATATTTGTTCACTTATATGTCTTTCTAACTTGAACAATAGGAATTTTCAAAGTTTTTAAAATTGATTGTTTTGTTAATGTAAAGAAATATTTGAGGGTCAGAAATAGTCGCTTATGTAATTGTATCAAATAATGAACGGAAGCTATAACGTTTTTAATGACACTATCGGAGCTCCTTACTACTTATGTTAATAAGTTTAAGGATGTTCAGATTATGGGTAACAGTTGGATCGGTGACTCGTCAGGTAATGTACTCAGAATGCCTAAATATCATCAGCTACTGAGAGGTAGAAATCCTGGATGTTAGTTAACAAAGAGATATTACAAACCCATGCTACTATTAATAGTTTCAATCTTGGGATTAAACAATGAATTTACTAGCTATTTATGAGTCGTTTATAATTAATTCACAAATTGTTTTATTGAATTTAACTTACTTCAAATGTTAAAGTTCCATTACGATCTTGATCAAATGATCTGAATACTAACTGAGCGTATACAGTTGCATCTAAAATGTAAAAAAAGAAAAGAAATCATTATTCAATTAAAACAAAATGTAACGTGAAATATTCAATGAAATATAAATCTAGATCTCAATACATAGTGCCCGCAGTGTCGAGTCACCTAGACTGGTGGCCACATCGCAACATGATCGATAGCATTCGATCTGCACTAATAAAGACTAGACAAGCATGACATTGATCACCACCCAGTGATCAATCAATTGTGATTATATCTCTGTCCCATAGGAGGTTAGTCACGGCTCGGATAGCTCAGTGGTAACGTCTCTGACTGTGAAGCTGGGTGACACGAGATCGGATCCGCAAGGGAGCACCAGTTCCCTCAAGATTACAGGTACACCTTGCTGACGAGTGCCAAGTAGCACGAAACCCGGGTCCAGGGTTTCCTGTTGACTACCTCCAACCACCATCTAATCTCAATACATAGTGCCCGCAGTGTCGAGTCACCTAGACTGGTGGCCACATTGCAACATGATCGATAGCATTCGATCTGCACTAATAAGGACTAGACAAGCATGAGATTGATCACCACCCAGTGATCAATCAATTGTGATTACATCTCAGTCCTACAGGAGGTTAGTCACGGCTCGGATAGCTCAGTGGTAACGTCTCTGACTGTGAAGCTGGGTGACACGAGATCGGATCCGCCAGGGAGCACCAGTTCCCTCAAGATTACAGGTACACCTTGCTGACGAGTGCCAAGTAGCACGAAACCCGGGTCCAGGGTTTCCTGTTGACTACCTCCAACCACCATCTAAATAAATTTATAATATTACCGTTTCAACAAACAGTTATTTTCCAATTTTCTGTCTACACAAATTATTGAAGAATATCGGTAACTGTTAACTTAGAATACAATTGTTATCTTCCATTCACTGTATGAATAATTGATGTAAACATGTAAGTAGTATTTGTTTGTTTTTAATAAGAGAAAAAAACTCAAATACTAAAGTGAGTAAACGATTAAGTGTAATCTTTCGATAAATAAATAATGGTCTTGTGAATTAAGTCATTTCTTTAGTGTTATCATTTTCAAAATCAATGAAAACTTTATCGGAATTAACCTCTCTAAAATGAGCAAGTCTGAATATTAAGACACTAATTTCGATAAAATAACTGATTGAAACGGAATAAAAAAAATTTAACACAACTTTATTCTACTCAATATAAATTGTATTTTTAGTGACAAATGTTATGACATAGCTTTATAAGTACTAAAATACGAATCATAGTGACAGGGTCAACCCTTGACCACCTTTCTCATCGGTAGTAATGAGATACTGAATAAGTATCAATCGACTTCTTTATAAATATAGTATCTTGGAAGGAGTTTGTTTGTGATGTATGTATTTGCTGTGGACCAATACCATTACTTTATGTCAGATTTGTTTACCAAGTAATCCTTAGCAGTATAATTTTTTATTACATAACAACACTGATTATCCACCAATGAAATAATAGTTAGATAATTAGTTCAGTCCTCACTACTAACTTTAACTGCGGTTATTAATTATGTATAACTTGCTAGAACTCATTGGTTTCATGAGTAATTAGAAAATTTGAAAAGATCCAAAATAAACCGAATTTCGTCATCAATTGATATTCGAGATAAAGATTATAATTCTGTTCAAAGATATGATCATTTCGTATCAATTGTAATAACTGTCCAAGCATTTCCAACAATAATTCTTCAATACATTCATACCATTATTACTTGAGCATACACAAAAATGCACTCAAAATAGTTCGATAGTTCCTAAAACAGAACCTGAATCGCAGGTCATGTGTTTTCTGCAAAGCTGGTACTAATCGTTTTCTGAAAATGTGCATTCGATATCACTTTCTTAAGCTGTACAATCGTATTCATAGATAATTTCTCGTATGATAACCAATGAAATTAAGGTTAGCAAGTCTTGGATTTTGGCGCAAAACTCGTTCATCATTATAGTTACATAGCATTTTGGCATTGTAGCTGATGTCAGTTTGTGGTGAGAACGCTCACTCTAGTTTCCAACCGTAACTTTAAACTCTAACCGGTAATATCTTAATTCTTCATACTAATTTTTGACCTTCATTTAACCCTAGTAAGTAGTTGAGTTGTCTCGAAGTCACTTAATAGTCCCTTAAAGGCCGTCCGTAAATCATAACCTCATCAGCTTGGATTAACTATACGGTATTGTGAACAAATATCACTCAGAGACTTCATGTCATTTCATATATTTATCAATCAGCGTGCTTTTTCTATTTTAACAATCGAAAATTTGTTTATAAAATCATGAAACCCCACCTCTCATTACATAGTTTTTCACAGTTAAAAAAGGGTCTTTTTCGATTCATTCTTACGTATAGAATCACAGAATTTACTGTAAATTAATGATCAGCATTTATAACTGTTTAATCCCATGCTACTCAGATTGTTTATGTCATGTGTTAACCAGTAGGGAGTAATCAGCAGGAGATATTTAGCCGGTAGTTTCCTCCTATTGATAATTATCATTTGAAAAAATAATATAAATTAAGTTTTGTTTCACAATCAAGATAATGTTGTTTGATATTGTATTTAGACAAATAACATTTCGGATGGTTAAGCCATCACTAATTTTACCAAAGACTAGATCAAGTAAGGGTACTGATCAGTATATTGTAATTGGTGATTTTTAAACTGAAGATATCAACTAGTGGATGGTTTAGTTGAGAATATACTTATGATAGTAAAGGCAGTTTTGACTGATTCAAACTAAAACACTACGTTTTCATTTTTGATTGGTCTTGGTGATAAACAATCGATAGCCACCTTGCCTACACGTAGGTCTGTATGTTTAAATTAGTGAAACCTTTGATTGATTATATTTGGCAGATGGGCTATGTTCTTTTAGTTCATAATAATCCGACAATTTATTTTATAAATATTCTTATGATTGTATTGATGACCACGTGTAGCTGAGTACATGTGATAGCCTACATATAGATTTCTCATCTGCTTGGGGACTATAGTTATAACAGTTACTCGATAGATTGTCAGATGGAGTAGAATCATAAAGATATCCGCAATAAATATAAAACTTCAGCGTTAAACTTCTCATCCCTAGTCTTCATCCTAGACACGTATATTTTAATTTTTGACACTTTCGTTTACTTAGTAACAATGAGTCTATTTTCTCAGAAATTAATATTATCTTTAGGTATAACTATTAGTTAACCATAAATTTACTTGTAATAGTTTCACGATCAAATGAAACTGTTTAGTTTATATAACAGATTATGTCTCAACAAGCTGAGTAATTGTTAATTGGTGAAAGAAACAATGAACACAATATCCAAAATCTTGATAAAACGATGATTGAGAAATGTAAATGAACTGAAGCAAAAACTGATTATTCTGAACTGAATTATAAAAGTATACTGATATTCTTAATTGATTTTATTGATCGCTGAAAATTCCATTATATTAAAAACACAACTGTATGAACGAAGAATATTATTTTCAATAATTTCTCATCAGGTTCTACAATTATAAATCCAGATTAATAATCCATAAAATTGGCCAGATTTAAGGTAAAATACATCATCATTTGGAAATTGTAATATGTGAATCAGGAACTGTTTGTTATATAAATAAAATCGTTAATGTTGGGCTGACTAATATGAAGTGTTAACTTGAATCAGTTTATAAGCGAAATGAAATTGTGAGATAAATTATCAGAATAAATATGGTCAACATGGAGTAAGAGAGAGAGAGAGAGAGAGAATATTGTGATTACAAATCGGAAATTACGTAATATGTAAAATAACATGAATTAGGTCAAATATAGTAGATTCAGGGGTGGATATTGAATAAATTCCTCAAAAAGGGGTTATCAAGTGTAAAAACAACCATAGTAATAATAATAATAATAAGTTTGGGACATAAAATGAACATTAATCAGATTACGTCACCACATTATAAGACTGATTATTAGCTAGTTGGTCAGGATAAAAGGAGTGGCTGAACATACTTCTTTTGGATACAAAGCTCTGGGTTTTTGATCCGAATAGCAATTGCTTCAGCCATCTGTAGGATTCGCAGTCTGACGGAATTAGGTAGACTGCTGTTAACACTGTAGATTATTGTAAAAGATTGCTCCATGTTTGCTGCTTGTCCTGTTTGGACTAAATGGTCTAAGATGGAGCTGTTAACAGTTTTGACAACACCTTTGCTTAACCACACGGGTAGGTGCTCACGAGCCCGAATGTGCAAATTTCTAGAAAATCTGCCAATATAACTTGCTCCACAGGAGCAGTTGAATTGATACATACAGAAGGAGGTGGCTAGTCTAGGTAATTCATCTTTCAACCTCGGAGTGATTATTGGTCGTGTGGAGAATACTAGTTGTAGTTTAGCTGCATTAAAAGTCCTTTGAATTGATCTACTTAAGTCTTAATATTTCACTCGATGCGTCGCCTCTGAATTGTAAGCGTATATATAGAGGCTTTTTATTCACCGTTGGGCATTCTCTACTCTGTCTTTTATTGGCTAAGTTTTTATTTATAAATTCCTCCGGATATCCATTTTCCTTCAGTGTTTTAAATAGTGTCTTTGTTTCATCTTCACTCGTATTCATAGTGCATATAGTCTTGATTCTATGGCGTGGTGTCTTAATAAGGTTCCTTTACAACAAAAAAGGTATCTGCTGGGGTCACCGAGTAAGTAATAGTGAGGCTAGATGCAGGGTATTAGGGAATGCTGGTAAATCAGTTGATGAGGTTGTGAATCTTCATCGAATGAGATGATTGGGCCATGTGTTATGTATGACTGAACACCGATTACCACGACGTGCAATCCTAACCGGTGTTGGAGATGGTTGGAAGAAAGTTAGGGGTGGCCAAACCAAAAACGTGTCATCAGTCCTTGAAGTCACTAACTTCTGGTCCAAACCATGTTGGCAGATGCAGACTATTTTGTTGGGATCCGCATGACTATCGTAATCAATGGTTGGAGACTCTGAGT